GTCATTGTTGTTTGGCGGGTCTGGGCTGGGGATTCGAACCTGCCACCTTAGGTGTACGTGGCTGGCGCCTTAGCCGGTTGAGCTATAGGCGCCGAGCCTGCCCACTGCCTTTAATGGTGCTTTTAAACTTGATGTGCTGGGGCTAAGAAATGCTTGCCATAACAACACATAAACACAAAATTTTGTTTATGCATTCAGGTAGCTGAACCTCCCACCCCATCTCAAACTTAAATGGGTGACCAGAAGAACCTCTGGTCAGGCATTTGAAATTCCGAATCAAACCCTTCCTTTATATACATAATCTTTTTTTTTTTTCAGTTTTTGGCTGGGGCTGGGTTTGACCCCACCACCTCCGGTGTATGCAGCCAGCGCCCTAATCCTTTGAGCCACAGGCACTGCCCTATATACATAATTTTTACTTTTCTGCTTTTGAGACAGGGCCTCACTATATTGGCCAACATGGAGTGCAGGGGCTATTGAGTCACAGGTGGTCCCATTACTGATCAGCACGGGTGTTTTTGGGTTTTTTTTAAATAGTCTCACTCTGTTGCCCCAGGCCAAAGTGCCATGGCATCAGGCTAGCTCATAGCCACCTCAGACTCCTGGGTTCAAGCAATCCTTCTGCCGCAGCCTCCTAAGTAGCTGAGATTACAGGAGTCTGCCACAACCACCTGGTTCATTTTTCTATTTTTAGTAAAGATGGGGGTCTCACTCATTCTCAGGCTGGTCTCAAACTCCTGAGCTTGGCCTGGCAGAGTGCTAGTATTACAAATGTCAGCCACCACACCCAGCTCCCCCACTTTTGTTGCCCAGGCTAGAGGGTAGTGGTGTCATGATAGCTCACCGCAAACTCAAACTCCAGAGCTCAAGTGATCTCCTACCTTAGCCTTATGAGCAATTGGAATCACAGATGTGCACCACAACAGCCCTCTAATTTTTTAATTTTTTGTAGAGATGAGAGTTGTTATTTTTTTCAGACAGAGTCTAACTCTGTTGCACCAGGCCAGAGTGACCTGTCATCATAGCTCACAGCAACCTCAAAGTCCTAGGCTCAGGCAATACTCTTAAAAATTGTGTTTTGTTTTGTTTTTTTGAGACAGAGTCCCACTTTGTCACTCTCGGTAGAGTGCCAGGGCATCATAGCTCATGGCAACCTGAAAACTCTTTTTCTTTTTTTAAGACAGAGTCTCACTTTGTCACCCTTGGTAGAGTGTTGTGGTGTCACAGCAACCTCCAGCTATTGGGCTTAGGTGATTCTCTTGCCTCAGCCTCCTGAGTAGCAGGACTACAGGTGCTCGCTGCAATGCCCGGCTATTTTTTTGTTGCAGTTTGGCTAGGGCCAGGTTTGAACCCACCACCCTCAGTATCAGGGGCTGGCGCCCTAGTCACTGAGCCATAGGCACTGCCCAACGCCTGGCTACTTTTTTGCTGTTGCAGTTGTCATTGTTGTTTAGCTGGCCCAGGGCTGGGTTTGAACCTGCCAGTCTCAGTGCATGTGCCTTGTACTGTAACTACTGTGCTACAGGTGCCAACCCACCTCAAAACTCTTGGGCCCAAGTGATCCTCTTGCCTCAATTTTTCATTTTTAGTAGTGATAGGGTCTCACTTTTGCTCAGGCTGGTCTGGAACTGGTAAGCTCAAGTGATCCACCCGCCTTGGCCTCCCAGAGTGCTAGGATTACAGGTGTGAACCAGTGCAAATGGCCTCAAGAGATCCTCTTGCCTCAGCTTCCCAGACAGCTGGGACTACAGGCATGCACCACCACCATCCTATATTTTTAGTATAGACAGGGGCTGACTCTTGCAGAAAATGGTCTCAAACTCCTGAGCTCCAACAATCCACTTGCTTAGGCCTCCCAGAGTGCTAGGATTACAGGTGTAAGCCATAACGTCCAGCCTCCCTCCTCCTTAGGCAACCTGGTGGCCCCCCTGCTCCCATACTGATATGGAATTCACTGAGGACTACAGTCTAGAACTTCCAGATTCAAGTGATCCTCCCCCCTTAGCCTCCTGTGCAGCTGAGACTACAGGTGTGCATCACTGTACCCAGCAATTTCGGCCATGCTGGGCCACTCCTGGTTCTTTTCACAGATCCTTAAACACATGGTGCTTGTTCATGTCAGTGCACCTTTGGGGTGTCCTATTCTGTCAGCCTTATACATTTTTTTTTTTTTTCAAAAACTTGCTATGATGGCCAAAGTCTGCTTGGTGTCAAAAAGCATCCATCTCTTAATGTTCATCTAACACATTCATTCAAACAATGTATCTAGAGGCTGGGGATTTGCTACTGGGCATCACAGATGGGGAACCTGCCCTGAAGAACTTTACCACCTGGTGATTATCCATTATTCAAAGGCCATCTGTGCTTCAGAACCCCAACTTAAATTCTTTGAGAGCAAGGCTGGAATAAAGCATTGCAATTAAGAGCCAGCAGAACAATTCTTTTCTGATCTGGGCTTCAAGTGTCTGAACTGCACAAAAAATTTGCAGGACCCACAGAGAGCCCATAGGAAGCTGCAAACTGCCTGTCCCAAGTACTCTAGTCCCGCCTCTATTCCATCTTCCAAAGAAAACCTAGAAACAGTCACCACTCTTACTGATCTCAGTCATCCTATCTTCAAAACAAAAGAAAACTCCTAGATCCGTAGCCCAGAATAAGGGTGGATCCATAATCTCATTCTCAATTACACAAAGACACAGCAGCCACTCAGTGCAAGGCCCAGGAAACAGCGGAAGGAATCCTGAGGGCTGAACCACCTCACCTCACGGAGAAAAAGCGTGTGACCCAAAAGAAAGCGGTTTGTGGCAGGGTCCGAACTGGAATCCGAAAAAGGAATCGCTCGAGGGGGCGGATTGGGAGTTGGAGGGGACTCACGCTGCTGCTGCTCCAGCGCCAGCTTGCACTTGTAGTAACTGTAGAACTCGCCTCCAAACAGAAACGAGAATTTCGGATTGTCCTTCTGCTTCTCCATCGTCATCTTCTCAAACTCAGGCCCATTGCGAGCCACGAACTGAGCCAGCTTGTCGATGACATTTCGAAGCTCCTGGTCTGGAAGACGGAGAAAAAGCCACGCGAGGCGTCACTGAGAATCGCGCAAACCCGGGGGCTCTGGCTCCCCAGCCCCCTTCCGCTTTGCTGGGGACCCTAAGAGTGGACCCCGAAGAGGGCGCCCTTGTACGGGTCCCGATAGGGGCCATACACTCGCCGGGAATGCGGGGACCCACGGGAGAGGCCGCAGGCGAAACCGCAAGGCCGAGCCCCGCCCCCTCCCAGGCCCGGGACTCCAGGAGGCGGGGCTGGCCAACAGGAAATTCTAGGGAGCGAAAAACGGTCTCTGGGCCGGGCTGGGACTCACCGTCGGGCGGTAGAGGCATCTCCATGGCTCCGGCCGCGGGGAACGTCCTCCGGCGCCTCACGATCGCCCACCAGCGCCGTCTGCGGAAGACGGCCGGAAGTGGCGCCAGGGAGCCGTTTACGGCTGACTACGCGGGCCGCTTCCGCCCGCCACTTACGGCTGTCGCCGGGAAACTCCGGAAGTGTGGGTAGGAGGCGGGCGGGAAAAAGCAGCAGAAGGCTGGCTGCACGCGAGGAGCTAGAGAGACGCATGCGCAGGGACTTCCTGGCGCGTGCGCAGAATGGGCTACTGTGGCGTGACGCGAGGAACACCTGGAACGTCGCGAGCGGCGGTTGGTGGCTGCTGGATCGTCCTCACAGGCCTCCGTCGTAGGCGAGGGACTGGGCGGCCGCTGTCTTCGCAAGACCGGAGGTCTCGGAAGTTCCTTCTTGGGTCTAGGGCCTGTTTTCCTGTGGGGACAAAGAGGAGCTGACACGGTGAGATGCGTCCGGGAGATCCCTGGGATGTGGCGCCTGTCACACTCTCCCCGGCCGGCCGGGAGGTGGAGCAGAACTGGGTGGCGGATTCGGAACTGGACTGTTTTAAATACAAAAGATCATTCTCGGTTTCTTTCCACCTCTGGTAAGGAAGACTTTGGGGCAGGGAATTCGCCCTGACCTCAAACTGCAGGTTTAGAGGGCATAGCAGTTACGTTGCTTCTTAAAAGATAAAGCCACTCCAGCTAATTGTGGGGAAAGATAACCAAAATCAACAAACTTATGTTGTGGACATCCCCTATAATCTCTCTTGCTGACGCTACGTTGGCTATACCTCCCTATTTTTTTCTTTTTTCTTTTTTTCTTTTTTTTTTT